TACGTGAGGATATACTTAACCCCGGATTAGGATGCCACTTGTCACTGTGATAGAGAATAAGAAAGAATCTTAGATTTTACGTGATTCATCGAAAATATCTTACATCCAAATATTTTTCTTATTGATGACATATAACAAAGATTAGATTCTAAACAACGTTCAATATGTTTTCATTCTTACAACGTACTAAATATATTTTCTACATGATTAGATATATACCATTGCTCGTAATTATTTTTACTTATTAAAATATATCAGAAGACATAAGCTCTGTATAAAAGTGTTAGAAATTGATTTTACTTGAATCCCTTTTTACAAGTTCATCGTCAAGATCCATATATTTTCATTGGTATCGTCGATTATTAATTCGAATTAAAATATGTTTAGATCGATGAAACAAAAAGATCCAAAAAAAAAAAAAGAAAAAAAAAGAAAAAAAAATTCGAAACAATAATAAAGTCTATAATAAAGATTATAATATTAAAATATATTCGATTTTATCGAAACTTAAACATTGATATACAATCGCAAAATAAAGATGAACATTTATTGAACAAATCGATATAAGTATATAAGAACGTAATCGACTACCGATTAGGAGAAGCATCATCGAGGTCGATCGTTGATGGACGTTCGTGGGAGCCCGTCGGAATAATTAATATTCACCGAGGCGTTGGCGCGTTCTCCGCTCGGCCGAGCGAGCAACCGGGGCGGTCTTTGAGGCTTCGATCTCGTACTTGGAAAGTCCGTCGACTTTGGATGCTGTATACCACAGCATCCGATCTTGAACATCCGATAGTCACGGCCGTCCGTTCTCCACTTCGGTGTCATTTCATCAATTACGAGCGTGGATGGAGATACGAGAATACACTAGAAAGAGAGAAAGAGAGAGAGGAAAGAGAGAGAGGGATAGAACGATAGTGATGGTGTTTCGTGCACAAGTGTTGGAGCGTATATAAGAAGGAATCGGAGTGCCAAGCCATCCGTGGGCGTTCCAAGCGATTCGCTCGAATAGTCGCGAAACGATTCGCGAGAGCTTCTCTCGGACCTTTCCCATGAAGAAGCGTCCATTGACAGCCGGAGAAGTGTATCACAGAGGATCCTAAGTGTAGTTATTCCAAAGAAAATAAAAGTGCTTTAGCCTCCTCCTCCTCCTCCTTCTCATCCTCCTTCTCCTCTTCCTCCTCCTTCTTCTTCTTCTTATTCTTATTCTTTTCCGTCCTCATCCTCCTTCTCTTCTTCCTCCTTTTCCTCTTCTCTTCCTTCAGTGGACCCCGATTATTAATGGCCGCGGTGGTGGTCGTCCGTCCGTGCAACACGGGCGCAAAAGTGTGCATCCGGTTTTCTACCAAGACCCTTTCTCACTCTGTCTCTCTCTCTCTCTCTCTCTCTCTCTCTCTCTCTTTCTCTCTTTCTTTCTTTCTCTCTTTTCCTTTTCAACCTCCTAGAAACCTCCCGACGTGCCGGTTGCCACTGGTGCAGGACGAGAGCGGGCGACCTTGCGCCGCTAAGAACCGAAAAGCAAGCCAGCACGCGCGAACATGCGTCCTTTCCTTACCTTACCTTACCTTACCTTACCTTACCTTACCTTACCTTACCTTACCTTACCCTACCTTACCTTACCTTACCTTACCTTACCTTACTTTACCTTACCTTACCTTACCTTACTTTACCTTACCTTACCTCAGATTACCTTACGTTACCTTGTCTTGTCTTATCTTGTCTTATCTTGTCTTGTCTTGTCCTGTCTTGTCTATCTTCGTCATAACAAACTTTCACGATCGTCATACAACGATTTTGTAATTTTTTATTCCTTTCATTTACTTAAAAACATTTGATCCCTAAGTTTTCTTTTACTTTTTTTTTTCTTTTCTCTTTTTTTTTCTTTTTCTTTTTTTTTTCTTCTTTTCTTTCCTTTATCAACTTTCTCCCCGTGCAATCTCTTATCTACTTATAGATTAACGATTTCGAATCAATTAAAAATGTTATTATCATTAAGTATACACTTTAAAACAACTTTTGTACTAACATCAAAGTCTACATGGCATCTCTTAGAGATTCATATCTTTATAGTAATCTATATATAAAACATAACACGATGATAAAAAGTGTATAATGAAAATGTTTATTTTCTATATAACGTATAATTATCGACTATCTCGTGTGGGTTTTCTTGTTTCTTTTTTCCTTTCTTTTTTCTTTTTTTTTTTTTTTTTTCTTTGCTTTTCTTTTCTTATATCGAACGATCACAGTTTTTGTTTTCTTCCTTTTTCTTTTTCTTTCTTCTTTTTCTTTCTTCTTTTTTTCCCCTTCAAGCGGATACTAACACATTCCGTTTGGCAGTTACGCAGTTACGCGCGCGCATACGCTAACGAAGGATCGGCCAGAACGACCTTCTCTCGATGCCCATTACGCCTCGTTCGTTTATTTTGCGGCTTTGCGCGTTACAGATCTTACTGTAATGCCCCTTTGTACAGCGCCGTGATTCCCCCTTATTATATACTTCTTATGCCATCGGCACTGTACGCGCGTTCTCTTCCACTCCCTTTTTTTATCTTCTTTTTTTCTCTCGTTCGCCAACTCGAGAAAGATAACTCTCGAATCGCTACGATCGTCACTTTTATTTCTCTAGATCGTTTCTGTCGCTATAATGCAAATAACGTGAACTTATATAGTTAAACCAACTACGTGGAACATCACACAATTTTCATCACAAATTTTTCTATCGTTTAAATAAAAGTTTTGAAAAGATTTTAAATATCAATAAATCATTTTTAAATATTTTTCAAGCTAATTTTTTGTCCGCAAATTGTAAAATTATAAGCATGAAAAGTTTCAAAAGAGAATAATTGATTTTCAATATCGTCTAGGAATTTTTGACTCATCGAGAGACTTTCGTCTGATCCTATTCTTTTTTTTTTATGTTTTAAATTCTCTTTAATTTTCTTGCCAAAAAAATTAAGTTTCGATAAATGTTATCTCATACGCAACATTTTACATATCTTTTAAACATAAGTTACGTTCATAATACTACAATACTATAGTTGTCACGTCGTATAATTTTTTTTCTAATCGCCAACAAAATAGAAACTTTAATTAAACGTATCTGAACTTATACGTTTAAAAAAGTCATCATAACTTTATTAACTCTCAATGATGTAATTACAATAAATATGTAACATTTATATACTCACATAAACGACATAAAATATATGTAGAAAAAAAAGCTGGATGAGTGTACGTGATATAAAAAAGAACTTATTATTCGTAAAATGTGTTCGTATCAAAAAAAAAAAAAAAGGAAAGAAAGAAAGAAAAATAAAAAAAAAAGACAGAGAAAAAAAGAAAGAAACAAAAAAAAATTCATCATCGTTGAGGAAACAAAATCAATGCCTTAGAACACATAGCGTGCAACTGTAAGTCGAAGGGACCGTGTAAAGGTAAGATATCAGGGAAGGAAAGGGTAAGGGCGGAGGACTCTGATGCGCGTGCTGCAGAAGACAGATGGTGGGGGAAAAGAACGGGCTACGAGGAGAGTAAACGACCTATCCCAATCTCGAAGGCCCACGCCGAGTCCCGAATGGTCTCGGTGGGTAAGTTGGAGGAGAGAAGGAAAGCGAAAGGGAAAAGAAGGAAGGAAGTAAAGAATGATGGACGGAATGGATAGATGGATAAGAGGAAAAGAGAAAGGAAAGAGAAAGGTCGGAGAAGAGTAAAATCGTGGAGCGTGAACACACGCTGCCTGTATATAAAGAGTTAGCAGTGCTTTGCGTGGGTCACGATGCCCTTAAGGTACACACGCGAGCGCGCATAAACACACACACACACACATACACGTACACGTATACGTACACGTACACACACGTGCGCAAGAGCGCGCGTCTACATAAATATAAAACACACGTCACGCATATACATACTTCGTGTATGATACGAAGCCACACGTCACGAGCTACACATATACATATATAAATATATACGCGTCACATTGGCACTCATATAAATACATATCTATACACCGGCATATGTGAAATATATACAAACACGTACACACAGAGACACATACAAAGACAGATCGTAAGTTTTCCCTTTTTCTTCTCGTTCGTCGTTGTCGTCGGTCCTGGCATGTACTCGTTATGGAAACCACCAAGGGATATTGTTGCTCGTATATATGGAGAGTACGAGGGAAGCGAACAGAGCTTGTACTATGCAGATGATTCCGCGATACGGGCTATTCATTGTGAGTCATTTAACAGTTTATGCATCGAGTACTACGTGCTCGCTCGAATCTGTGCGATGTGTTATTATATTGCTTATCGAAAGCCTATCCACCTCTTCCCCCCTCCGTATCCCATATCTCCTTCCCACATCTTTCTCCTCCCTCCTTCTACCTTAATAACGCACGTGCCACTCTTTCATCGTCTCGAGCTTTTCGAATCCTAGGTAGCCACTTTGTATCAACGACTGATAATAAATCGATGGTAATAACGTCAAGGATTTATTTTATTTTACAGAAGAAAAAAAAAAAGAAAAAGAAAGAAAGAAAAATTCTAGCTCGTTATATCTAAATCATTATATATTAGACATACATTCAAATTATAGAAGGGTTTAATTTATTATTATACTCTGATTAATGATCCCCGAGGAAATCCTAAATCTAGATATATACTTCATATTAATAGCTCTAGAATCGATTGGTAAATGGGGAAAACGTTCTAACTATTTTGCATATATCGTAGCGTTAAATAATCCATCATGGTAGTTTCGATTAAACGTTATCGTACGATAATATAGGCAGATTTATAATATTCTACAAGTTATCAAATCGAATCTTCATTTTATTTCTAATGAACTAGTAAAATGTATTAGGTGTCATTCGGTAACATGTTAAAGAAATACTTAATAAATATCGTATACGTTCTTGTTAATATACTTTTTTTTTTTTTTAAATGTAATTTATACATGTATATATGTATATTAATTATTTAATGTCATTGCAG